GCTCTCCGGTCATTCTTCCCTCACTTATTCCTGATTATCCCTAACAAACAAAGCAATACACTTTTCTTCAGCTAGATTATTTCTAGTGGTGACAGGGAGTATTAATGCAGCCTGGACTAGTACTGCAGGTTGACATAAATCCCCTGCATCAGTATCATCCAGGTCAGAGTTATTTCAGACCCAACAAAAGCACCAAAATTGCTCCTCAGCTCCATCTAAACCTGCCCTGGTGCAGCTTGAGGCCGTTTCCTCTGGTCCTATCACTCATCCCTTGGAGAAGAGATCAGCCACCTCCTGGCTCCTCATGATTCAACTTCTTCAGTATGGCTGTTCCCCATACGGCACTCTAACAACTAGCTCACTGAACATCAAGGAGATTAGTATCTACTCACTTCTCTACTCCAAAAATAAATTAGAATATGTGTATCAGATTGATTTGGCATTAACTACACCTATTTAATAATCCTTCCCCTCCCCCCCCCCAAATAATCTTGCTCTAGAATCTAATACTGCTGTAGTCAGACCAAACAGACCTTAAATTACACCAAACATCTGCTACCACCTTTTGAACATCTGGGAAAGCACAATGTCTGCATAAAGCATAGCTTCCAGTTTGAACAAAATCCAACCTACCAGATACTCGAATTCACGTACTGCTTTTTTCTTGCTGTTCTATGATTGAAAAACAGTAAACCCATCGAGCAACTCGATTCACAAGCTTGCAAAAAACTGCAAAATTGGCCTCACCAGTCTCCAAAAAAAGGCAAAGTAACTGTGAGCCCTTGAGACAATCCACTCAAAACATACATCCACTAAATCCAGTTCTTTGTATTTCTGAAGTGGATTAACTCACAGTTCTCAAAGCCTGTATGCTCAGTTTAAGCCACAGAGATCCCACTATGGTATTCGGCTGAGAAGAACTGCCTTAATCTTATACATATTCAATATAATAATTAGCCAGGTAGGATTCCCCTGCTGTACTTCGAACAATTTCAATCATGTAGCCACCACAAGTCTAAAATGCAGTATTAAGGCCAAGCTCTCAATTGTTTTTCTGAACGTCTTTCTACTCCACCTTCTTAACCACAGCATCATCCCCCTCTCTTCCTATTCACTTGCTCCAAATCTCCTCCTTTCCCTGCTGTCCAAACCACATACATATCTGTGCTTTCCTCCAAAATAACCAGCCACGTCATTCTCATTTTGCACACACCTGGAAAAGTCATTTACCCCTTATCTATCCTATTAATATGGGCTTTACTCAAGGCCCTTCAAAAATGTAATACCAAGTATTTCCCAAGCCATCAACTGGAACAAACAGACACAAAACCCAACAATCACCTTTAAAACAGCTACAGGAAAGTGTAAAGATGTCAAAGTAATTCACAAAGTCATGGTAAGAAATGCCAGCTGAAGTGAGAAGCCTTAATTATCAACACAGGATAAGGCTTCTCATGGAGCAGAGCCAGCTTAGGCTGCTCCCCCTCTCCAGTCTAATCACTGATGCCTCTGACCGCAGCTTGCTTGTCCTTCAGCTTCTGGATAACTGAAGACATCATACTGAAAAATAAGTCTTTTTCCTGCTATTGCTTTTCTTCATCAAGCTGACTGGATCAACCCTTCCTTGTTAACAAGGTGACATACCCATTCATAAAGGTTTTTGAGCTAAAAAGCACTGTAACTGATCACTTCAAAGTCTGCTCAGTTTCTCAAGTTACGGTCACGTTAGATATGCCCGTCATGGTTAATAATCTAGATTTGGGATCATTTAACAGAAAAGCTTCTAAGAACATCAATAAAAAAATCCACCTAGTTTATTTTCCATAGGTCAGGGGCCTCCATCTTCTAAATCAAATCCAGGTGCTGCAGATAAATCAATTTCACCCTTCATCTTCAGCCAAAGATGCTCCTTCCCTTATGCATCCACCTAGCCTTCCCAAGACTCCTCTTTTTTAGTATAGTCTGGTACCAGGCATCTGAATAGTCACAGATAAGCTTTAGGCCATAATACAGTGGGGACCTGCCCTGCTACCTCTTGAAGCTCTTTAAAAGGCATTAATCAAGCCATACCTTTGTATAGAAAATATCAAGATACTCCATACTTTCTCAAGGAGAAGAAGGCATTGCAAAGTGCTTGTGTCTAAATTCTGGGATTGAGTAAGAAATTAAAATTACAAAAAAAAAAAAAAAAAAATTACAGTGCAGTTTTTTTGTTAGCTTTAAGAAATTATTGCAATCTCTCCCTCAAATCCCATAGCTGCTTCTAAACCAGTGTTTGAATATAGTGAGAAAAGCATCAGGTGTGAAGGAAGAAACACACAACTAGTTTTTGCTCAAATGTGCAAAATCATGATAAATACTAAACAGTCTCCTGAGATCTAGGGATGCAGTTCACATCTGAGCTTGCCCACAACTGTTAACACCATTGCAGATTGTCCTGCAACAGCAGTGTGCTCCAGATCACACCTGGGTATACAACAATCACTGCTGTACCTTACTTTTTAATTAGAAGTACCAATTTTTTAATTAGAAGTACCAATCAAGACCTTCTGCCATGCAGACATAATGGTTTGATCCACTACAGGGGGCACAAAGGATGTGTTATGTTGAATACAGATGTTACAGTAATGCCTTCCTCAGCAACACAGTTTCACTGCCACTCTAGAGATGGAAACCAGAGTTTTCAACCACTTCCACCACAAAAAAAGTGTTCTGTAAACACTCACTGATAACCTCCAGCTCCTATCAATATTCCTCCTTTTTCTGACCAAATTAAACACAGCAATGCAAAAAATCAGCTTCATTAATGCAGAGTTACAGATGTCCACAGCACCTACTTGGAATGGGTTCAGCCAGTTCATGTTTTCCTGTTTCAGGAGTTTGTGATGCATACTCCAACAGCCCATATGTCTATCTCCTTCTAAAACCATGTCTAATATCAGACTGAAGTTCATTAACACCCCTGATCTGCAACACCTTTGGCTTCCCATGTCTTGTTATGCAGTGTGCTACCCAAGTAAGACATTTGGCAATCCACACCCTCTCCCTTGAGCCGCTCAGAGAAGCTGAGCATGGCATCCATCTACTGCAGACCACTGAATTTTACCCATCCTTTTACCTCTTAGTCCAGTGACACCAAATACCCTGGGTACTGCTAGAAGGCAGAGGGATGGTTTCCATTAGCTACTGCTAAATCTGGAGGCACGCAATTACAGGCATATGGGTACAAACTCATATTTCCTTTAGAAATGAAACAGCTTTGCTGAAACAGATGTTCTGGGAACAGCATGGAGACCACCGGGCAGCCTGGAGGACAGCTGATACAGTGGAGAAGGACCCCCAGAGCAATGCATGCATCCCACTGAATATAAGCATGGAAATATCAAACAGGGAGAAGGAGATGGTTTTACAACATCTAACATTGCCTCTTTTCCCAGTCTGTCAATGCTTCTATGCAGAAAAATACTACAAAAACAATCTCCCAACTAGCAGAGCTAACTTGAAGTGAGGCTTAAACTCTTTTATTAAGTTACAGAATAAATTATTTGATTACAAGCTAAAAATACTTACTAGCAGACATTCCTCCTCTCTTTAAAATGCTCTTGAATTGATAATCCCACAACAAAAATAGGAAATACATTTTTAATGTGACCGATTAACATTTTAGCTCACTTTGGAGCATTCATTATATCCCATCCCCTGAAGGTGAAGATTCCAGACTGCTGACATTTCCTAAAACTGCATTAAAGTTGAAGAGTAAGTTTGGGTGTTGGCAGAGCACAGCAGTTGCTGCTCTGCCTTGGGCACAGAGTGTGACTCTGGCCACACCGGTGCCTTCTGGCCTCACTATCTTTTACAACATAAAAACCATCCAGCCATATTTTTTTTTGATGGTGCTGAATTTAAGAGGAAAATAACAGAAAATCTCAATGTGACCACAGCAATCTCAACACTCCTGCAAGCCTTTTAACAAGCAAAGGGATGCACTGGAGTATGCAAGTACTACAATGGTCATGGCAGGGATGGGTGGTCATCTCCTCAAATGTCTCATGTTGACACAGAGTTCTTGTTTGTGAAGCTTGTGGAGGAGACTGCACTGGGAGCCTGCCAGCTCTGCTGGCAGACACAGCAACATGGAAAGCTTTCACCTCATCTGAAGAGATAAGGAGAAACGATTCCTCCTCCTGGTCAACTTGAGGTTGGCTTATATTTACACAGGATTGACCCCATCTTCCAAAGCAGAAAACGTAAACAATGTGTATGGTCTTGGTACAGAACAAAAAGCATCTCCTCCTCTTCATCAGTAGAAACTGAAGAGTTTCAAAGAGGATTCAGACCCTGCATTTGCACCCATGAGGGAGGTCCACAAAGGTGATGGACACCCAAGCAGGGCAGCACTGGAGAAAGGCAGGAAAACATCACAAGGCTCTTGAGCCCTCCTTTAGAAACATGACTCGTCCCTCTCTCACTCAAAGTTGCAAAAATAACCAAAACCAACCATCTACCCTACACACTGCACCTCTTGCCTCTCAACCAGTTCTGTCCCAATATACACTTTACCACACTAACAAGGGAAACAGCTCCCAGTGTTCAAAGTGTTACACAGATTCTGGCACAAGTTCTAGAAAAGGTAAAATTAAATTGTGTCAGAACTCCTCCAGCCACGCTTGGAGCACAAAAACCTGTTTCAGGTAACTCTCTGCTGGTCCTCCCCTACAGCACTCTTGCACACCTCATCCAAGTGATCTTTGATCTCGATCAACACCTTCCTTTGATGCTCAAGGATCTCCACTGCCTCCACACTACACAAAGGGTAAAAAGAGGACAAGCAAGCAACACTGAACGCTCTTCATGTGCACATGCCTGGGCTTGTGTGTAACCCAAATCCTCTCCACAAGCACTTTTTTAGACAAAGCCACTATGATGCCTATTTCTCGCAGAGAGGACGATCTCTTTAAACTCAGAGAGATTTAACTAATAACATTAAAATGATGACTTACCAGTCTCTCATTATCTTCTGAGGTTCTCTGGTAATGAGCTGCTAAAGCAACATAATCCTGTGCCTGCTTGTTACACTCTAAACACTTAAGTCCATGACGGATTAGTCTCAATGGGTCCGTATAGAGAGGCAAGGCTGGCTGAGTGTTAGCAGAAATTCCTACCCCACCTCCTGAGGCAGCACTGGGCTTACGCGAAGGAGAGGGCGAGTGCAAAGTCTGAGGAGCCAGAGAGGCTGAAGAGCTCACAGGAGGTGAAAACATTTGGTCTAAGGAAATCGGTTTCATTAGCAGCTGAGAACACTGCATGATAAATCCTTTGCTCTTATGATCTCTGGCATGTTTAAGCAAACTACACTTATTAAAAAAAAGTAGCATAGTTGAACACTGAGTGCACATGACTTCGATATGAACACTTCGTCTACTATAGTGTTGAGTCAGGCTTTTCTCTAAGGCAAATGAGTCCCCACATTCCAGGCAACAGTACCCAGAGGCAGGTAAATTAATACTGGTGTCAGGCGGAGGACTAAGGTTTGGAGTATATATCGGCACCGGATTGGCACTGTGTAGTACTTTATTAAAAGCTTCCACGACGACGGGAGCAGCTTTCTTGACTTGATGCACCAGGGGCACAGACATCTGTGTCACCTGAGGCTGACTTCGCCTCTGTGCAGATGACTTTGCCGTAACAGAAGCAGCAACACTATGTGGGACCAAGTTGAGATTTGCCAAGTGCACGGCTTTGGGAAGAAGGCTAGAGGTGGTGACACTGGATGGCTGCATCACGATACCCTGCTGCTGCCTCTTAACACCTACTTTTATGGCACCACTGCCACAGTTTGGCAGTGGAGATAAAGACACAGTACACGTGCTGTTTGCAGCAATATCTGTTTTCATGCTATCTGCGTAAGGACTTGTTATGCTTGACAGCTGGATAGCCACAGTAGCCCCATTTTTGGTTGAATTCTTGCTGGCCTCGCTTTCCATAACTACACTAGTGTCAGGGGATGGAAAAGATTTGATAAACTCTTCGGCAGATGAGGTTTCCACAGGCGACTCTTCTGAAGTTTTGCCCAACTCATCATTTTCTGGCAAAATTCTAGTTACAGTTCTTTTAATTTCACCAGAAGATGTCTTGATAGTCTTTATTCTAACCTTGGGAATAGCTGGTGGAGAGCCAGCTGCCAAGGAAGGAGAGCCTTTCCCACTGCTGTCGCTGCACACGCTTTGAGGACTCTCGGGCTGCTTGCTGGCCTTTCTTACCACCTCTAAAGGGCTTCGGGGACTCTTTGGTGACTTGGGCATTTTTGGACTTCCCTTCATCCCATCTTTAAAAGGACCAGGTTCCTTGGTAAGATTTGGTTGCTCACCTTTTGGAATACATGCAACCTTTTTGGCCTGAAGAGCTACTAACGCTGCCACGCAGGATGACAACTTCGAATGAGCTGGCTTTAACCTCTGGCGAGGTGGTATTGATGAAGACATGCTCACCTCGGGCACAGACCCCTTTTCTCCTAAATTATTGTGAGGGAGGTCTCCAAACACCAAGCCTTCTCCAAGAAAGCTATTGGTATCTACTAACTCCTTGCTTGACTCCAAAAACCTCTCTGCTGCTTTGTCTTGTTCTCTCCTGCTCATTTCCGGCCTATTTGCCGGCTGGCAGTGGATTTCCATCTTTTGTTCCTTTTTACAGTATTGATCAAACATGCTTAATTCAGGCTCTGGTACCTTTCTAAGATGATCTAGTACTGAAGCTCCTGTTGGTATATACATTGAAGGTGGTGGAAAATATGGTGTTTGGGCATGTTTGGGTTTATCAGCAATGCTGTTCTCTTTGAATGCATCCTCTGGTTCAGGGCTGGAAATTGGGCTAAACTGACTAAATGTTGGCAAAGGCTCTGACTTGGACTGCTCCAGTTTATCAGAGTAACTTCTTGAGCTGTCGCCATTAATAAAAGTTGACTCAAACTTGCCATAATTATGGACTAAAGCATGAGCCTCTGATGGCAGATCAGACCCACGAAACCCATTGTGTAGCAGACCAGTACCAAGGTGATTCCCCTCCTTTTCTGCTTCAAAGGACTCCTGCCGACTCGTGTTCTTCACTATCACACTCACAACAGGAGTATCAGAGGGAGGCAAAGAGTGGGATAAGGACACGTTCTCATCGATGCAGATTCCTGATGACTTCAGGTGATTCTCATTCTCCTCCCCAGCTGGTGGGATGGTCTCCTTGGCATCAAGGCTTGTCGGATCAGGGATGTCAAAAGCAGCCAAGAGGTCATCAAAGTCTGGGGTTTTCATGTCCCCCATTATGAAAGCTATAATTAAAATACAAAAAAATTCTTAGTCAGGTACATCTTTCCCAAGGACAGACTTTGTAAGACTAATCTGCATAAATACCTTATGTGACAAAACCCATAACTGCCCAAAACGCTAACGCAGCAGGTACAAAGGCTAGAAACATCTGCAGCAGACACTTCAGTTTCCATTTTAACTATTCCAAGATTGGCTGTTTATATACAAAAATATTAGCCCAGCTTTTTCAACACAGCTTTCAAAACAGAAGCACCATTTGTAGGGCATTACAGGGAAGGAACCTCTCCTGCCCTTGCTGTACATGGAGGATATGCAAAAGCTCAGATCTCATCCTGCTCAAGCTGGCAGGGGCAGGTGACGAGTGGCAGGAGCTGTTCAATCCTGTCCTGCACCACAACCTGGCCCCTCTGGACTGTGAGCAAAGCTGCTCCTGGTGCTTCAAGCAACATGCTGAGTCCCCGAGAACAGAGCTTGTTCAAACATGACCTTTTAAATGACACCAAGCTCGTGCAGGGGACATCTTTGCAACCTGTCAGATGAAACTCTACTCCAAAACAGCCACTGTCATGAGCCTCTGCAGAAAAGATCCAGAAGAACATCAGTGCTGGGTTTCTTTTTTGTTTGTCTGGGTTTTTTTAGAGCCAATACACAACAATCACTGTGGATTTCTCAACAGATTCTCTGAAGAATTCAGTCCTGCTTCAAGGAACAAAGGCAGCGGTAAACAGGTGGCCCAAGAGAAACAGGCCAGAAAAGTGAGATGACTCCCACCCAGAGCAATTTGTACAATAGAAGTCTTCAGTAAATATTTCAATACAGCAGCTTAAAGCATGGTAAACGAAGTGGGATTTATCTGAAACACAGGCAATTCTTAATTAAAGAAGGATGTGAGGCAAAACTGCCCAAAGACAGAATAAAGGATCATGTTCAAATCATAACAAGAAATGGTGCTCCCAGCCAGCTCTCTCTTTATAAGCCCTCCAGAGGGATAGTGGGGACTTAGATGCTCACCACAGAGACCTATGACAGCAATAATGAAGCTCTGATGAGATGCATAATGAAAACTGACAGCACAGAATTACTTGAACATTTGTGTTTGCTATTGTCAGGGATAGTGGTTTTCCCCTGCTTAATCAAAATATTTTCAAGTTAGGGCAATATACAGACTTCCCAAATATTTAATACATGTTCTACTTAAACCCCAAATTTATGTGAACTGATGCATACTGTATGCAGGGGAGCTAAAAAAAAACCCCAAACCCAACAAAGAGTGTCAACTGAGCCAGCAGAGCACCAGTTCCTTGGCAAAGAGCACCCACAGGCAAGGTAAGTCCTGCCACGCTCACTTGACCTGGGCTGCATCAGAGCTGCCAATGCCAGGGGCAAGTGAGGGAGACAGCGCCCAGAAGGGGGCAGAGCTGGGAGGAGAGGCACAGATAGAAAGAAGGACCCTGGGAGAAAGCGGAGGGAGATGAAGGAGCTGTCTGATAGAGGCCACTGATTTAAGGCTGCTTTCATTATTTACAACTGGGTTTAAATGTTTGTGAAGTGTCACATTAAAACTGCAGGTATGGGGAACACTTTACAGAGCTGGACAAGAAAAATCACTTCAGCTTTGAACAAGAGGACATAACGGTCTTTGAGCTTTAGTTTAGCCATGCCTCCAGACAATCCCCATAGGTGTTGCTTTGGTTAATCTACTGCAAAACATTCTGTGGAGACTTACTTGGCTTAAGAGTGGCTCACTGTGGTTTAGCTTAAACTTGTTCTCATTCTTAAATTAAACCACAAATATGAATGTCCACAGACAGCTGTGCAGTACTTTACAATCGCATCCCTAAGCAAGGTAGCTCGGCTGTGCACTACACCCCTGGAAGCTCAGATGATTATCCATATGCTTCACATCACTAGCACTTGATAAAGAAACATGATGTTCTGAAACATCAGATTACTGCAGTTGGCAAAGAATGTTGACCTAAAACTTCTCCTTCCTTTGGTGAGAAAACTTGTGCCAGCTGGGAGAGAACAAGGCACCACTGAGCTCCCAAAATTTCTGGCACATAAACCCTTCCACAAGGAAGATATTTCATCTTGAGCATAACCTGTAATGCTCAAGTTTTATATAGAGAAAAAGGAGCTTGCCAATCACTCTTGATTTTTCCACCTATCCACATCTTTGGACGCAGCACTACTTTAAAATACCAGACAAAATAAACCTGAGGTATCTGCAACATTACAAAATATGCTTTTCTTGGAAGAAATGGTGCATTTTCAGAAGCTTTCGTGTACATCTTTGAGTCCTATGAAAGACTAGCTTACACTCTGCTATTATGAGAGCGCAAGTCTCTACTCAAGCATTTCTCCTCAAAACTGCATCTTAAACATGTTATACATGAAGCTAAAATTCTCAAAGTAAAACTCGACTCAGATTCTAGAGAAGACCAAGTAGGTAGCTTGCTGACAAAAGTGACTTTTAAGTGAAACAAATTTAAAATTTTGACTAAACACCATTTATTTCTGTTCTCAGATAACAAACAGAAGCATATTAAAGGAAATCATGTCAAAGCTTCCTGCAAACTATTTTGTGAGGAAAGACGAAACCTCCATCTTTCTTGTGCAAAGGACTTGCCTTCAAACCCAAGCTTGAAATCCAATTTTCTTTCTCTGCTTGCCTGTGAAAACATGGAGGTTGAGATTTCCAAAGCAACAGAAGAGGTGAATAAAACAAGCAAAGAAGGAGTTACAGAGTAGAACACATGTATTTCAATGTGCAAAGCCAACCTCGCTATAGCACATTTCTCCAAGGAGCATGGAACCTAGAAGCCTCCAAGCCATCAAAAACACCCCTGTGAACTTGCTCGAGGCTGTCTGTACAACCTCAGGGCTGTGGCTAAGCTTCAAGACATTGCAGCCAGGCAGAGGCACCACAGGATAAGCACTCCATATATGCACCATACAAACCTTTCGCTAGCAGTGCTATTCCTGGGGATTCTCAGAGCTCTGCAGTAGCTCCTCTGGAGCTTTCAAACCAGCGTGTACCATGCTGCTCAAGAAGGAGGTTCAAGATTGCCACCTAAAAGGAAAGCATGAAAATGCAATTACACCAAGGTTAAATAATACAGGAAAATAACGTTAACAGTAAATACTGGTAAATCTGTAAAATAGCAGTGAGGTACATGGGAAAACATCGGCCATGGGGTCCTCTCACCAGCCCAGAAGAGGGCTTCCTCCTGGAGGGATGGCACCTCCTGGAGGGATGCAGAAGGAATGTGAAGAGGGCTTGTCATCTGGGAAGGCACGGATGGCAGGAGCAGGGCCCAAGGAAGCGCAAGCAGTACATGCCAACTGGCAGCAGCCAAAGCAGACCAAGGCAGAGGCCACCCAGGGGCTGTCAGGGCCATGGGGAAAGTACAGGAACGGGGAACGGCAGCTGGTAGGAGATTAAACCGGAGGCTCCAAACGGGCCCCGGTGCTGCAACACCCACTGAAGTTACAGGAGCGCGGTTCGGAATCACTGGTACGAGCGGGGCCGGGGGCTCGGGGTCACCGCCCGGGGCAGTGCTGCCGCCGTCTCCACGCGCGACCCACCCAAGACAAAGGCCTGGGGCCTCCCCGGCCGCCGCCCGCTCCCCCCGGCGCTGACACCCGGCGCGGCCCCGCGGCCCCGGCCGCACGTGGGCGAACCCCGCCGAAGTTAGTTTGTCCCAGCACCGCCGGACCGGGCCGCGCAGCGCCGCGCCGCACCGCCGTGGGGTCCGGGCCAGCACTCGGAGCCGTGACCGGAGCTGCCGGAGGAGCTGACGGTCGGGAGGTGAGGAGAAGGCGGCGGGCGCCCCGCGGGCCGGAAGAGCCGGTGCGGCGGGCAGGCGGGAGCGCAGGGCTCGGTCCGCCGGCGGCGGGGCCGCCCGCCCTGCCCGCGGGGCGGCAGCACCCGCTCGGCCGGCGGGAGGGCGCAGGGAAGGCGGAGGGCGAGCGGGAGGGGCGGGCCCCGGCGCGGCCAAGCCCGAGCGGGCGGCACTCACCCACGCTGACGGCTCCTCTGAGGGCCCCGCCAGAGCCCCGCACAGGCCTCACCCCGCACCCGGCACCAACGGCCGCAACATGGCGGCGAGCGCAGCGGGCGGGGCCGGGAGCAGGGCGGGGCCGGGCCGGGGCACGGCGGACCGCCCCCCGCGCCGGGCCCGCGGCGCCGCCGGCTCGGCCTCCCCGCCCTTCAGGGCCCGACCGCGGCTTCTGTCAGCCGGGGCGGGAGCGCGGGGCAGCCTCGCCAGCAGACGCTGTCCCGGTGCCCCGCTTCTCTCAGAAAGGCCCGGCCGGGGGCGCCCCGGGGGCCCCTCACGCCTCCGAGGGTTCGCGCTTCAACGTTTTCTCACCGAAACCGATCTTGTAGAAGGGCGTCCACTGCAGTCACCTCCCCTCGTCTTTTATCTCCTTCCTCACTGTACCCTGCATCAACACCGATGTGATTTTGCTTAGTTAGGCAAAATGACGTGGCATTCATAGCATCATAGAATCCCACACTGGTTTGGATTGGAAGGGACCTTAAAGCTCATCCAGTTCAACCCCTGCCACGGGCAGGGACCCCTTCCACTAGAGCAGCTTGCTCCAAGCCCCTGTGTCCAACCTGGCCTTGAACACTGCCAGGGATGGGGCAGCCACAGCTTCTCTGGGCACCCTGTGCCAGCGCCTCAGCACCCTCACAGGGAAGAGCTTCTGCCTAAGAGCTCATCTCAGTCTCCCCTCGGGCAGGTTAAAGCCATTCCCCTTGGCCTGTCCCTACAGGCCCTTGTCCAAAGCCTCTCTCCAGGTTTCTTGGAGCCCCATCTAGGTATTGGAAGACTGTTACAAGGTCTCCTGGATTAATCACTTCATGTTCGCAGATGTGCAACAGGGTTGGAGTTTTGCCCCCTGCCTTACAACCTGGTGTAGGCTGTTAGTATTGACCATCGATGCTAATTGCTCAGCATCTTCCTCCAGACGATGAAATTCCCAAGCACACACTAGCAAGTCCCACAGTTAAAAAAAAAAAAAAAGAATAAAAAAGAATTGTAGCAGTCTGTGCTTCACATCTTCCACAATTAGTGGTGGCTCTGGAAGCAGTGGCAAGGCCACCCCTGGAGCATAATGTCCTGTGCTGGGCTCACCTCTGTGAGAGAGACTAGAGAGTCCAACAAAGGGTGCCTAAGGTGAAGAAGGAACCTCATGATGAGGCAAGGCTGTGAGCACTGGGACAGCTCATCCTGAGAAGAGAAGGCCGAGGTGGCCAGGAATCTTACCAATGTCCGTAGATAGCTGAAGGAAGACTACACAGCCGAAGGCTGTCTTTAGTGGTGACCAGACCCAGGACCAGAAACAATGGGCGCAAACCGAAACACAGCAGGTTCCCTCTGAATACCAGGAACATTCTTTCACTGTGAGGGTAACCAAGCCCTGGCATAAACTGCCCAGGGAGGCTGCAAGTCTCCATCCTCAGAGGTTTTCAAAAGCCGTCTAGATTTCCTGGGCAACCTGGTGGCCTTGCTTCAGGTTGGATCAATTGACCTCTGGAGGTGTCTTCCCACCTCAGTCACCATGTGATGATGTGAAGTATTTTGTGTTCAGGTGTGACTATGTCACCCATTGTAAGAAAAGATGAGTATTTCCTGAGTTTGTTTTTCCTGTAACATGACATTTTTACTATCTACACCTGGCACTGGACATGCAGCATTGTTCAAAACTCATTGTTTCTCATCGAGTTAAATTATTCTTTTTTTCCTTGTCATCAGTCCCATGGGAAAAACATTTCTTAGGTTTTTTTATTGACACTCATAGCTTCAGTTCA